GCAAGAATACTGAAGTGGTTTGCCATTCCCTTCTCCAGTGGACCACATTTGTCAGAACTCTCCACCATGGCCTGTCCATCTTGGGTGGCCCTACATGGCATGGCTCATGGTTTCATCGAGTTAGACAAGGTTGTGGTCCATGTGATCAGATTGTTTAGTTCTCTGTGATTGTGGTTTTCAGTCCATCTGCCCTCTGATGGATAAGCTTATGGGAGCTTTCTGATGGGAGAGACTGACTGAGGGGGAAATTGGGTCTTGTTCTAATGGGTGGGGCCATGCTCAGTAAATCTTTAATTCAATTTTCTGTTGATGGGTGGGGCTGTTTTCCCTCCCTGTTATTTACCTGGGGCCAAACTATGGTGGAGGTAATGAAGATAATGGCAACCTCCTTCAAATAGTCCCACAACGCACTGCTATACTCAGTGCCCCCAACCCTGCACCAGGCCACCGCCAACCCATGCCTATGCTGGAGACTCCTGGACCTTCACGGGCAAGTCTGGGTCAGACTCCTGTGGGGTCATTGCTCCTTTCTCCTGGGTCCTGGTGTGCACAAGGTTCTGTTTGAGCCCTCCAAGAGTCTATTTCCCAGTCCTGTGCAAGTTTTGGCAGCTGTATGGTGGGGTTAATGGTGACGTCCTCCAAGAGGGCTTATGCCATACCCAAGTCTGCTGCACCCAGAGCCCCTGCCCCTGCGGCAGTCCACTGCTGACCCGTACCTCCACAGGAGACACTCAGACACAGTTCTGTCTCAGTCTCTGTGGGGTCTCTGAGTCCTGGTGTACACAAGGTTTGTTTGAGCCCTCTGAGTGTCTCTGGCAGGTATTGGGTTTGATTATAAAGGTAATTTTGCCTCTCCTACCATCTTGCTGGGGCTTCTCCTTTGCCCTTGGATGTGGGGTATCACCTTAAAGTCACTCCAGCACCATGCAGCTGCCTCTTCAGCAAAGGCTAAAGCCTTTCTTCCATCCACGCGAGGCGGCTTGTCTATAGAAGAGATGTCTAGTCTTTCCTATTATGTTGTTTTACTCTATTTCTTTGCATTGTTCACTTATGAAGGCTTTCTTCTCTCCTTGCTCTTCTCTGAACTCTGCATCCATTTAGGTATATCTTTCCCTTTCTCCCTTTCTTTTTGCCTCTCTTGTTTTTTCAGCTATTTGTAAGACCTCCTCAGACAACCACTTTGCTGTCTTGCATTTCTTTTTCTTTGGGATGGTTTTGGTCACCACCTCCTATACAATGTTACCAACTTCTTTCCATAGTTCTTCAGATACTTTGCCTACCAGATCTAATCCCTTGAAGCTGTTCATCTCCTCCACTCTGTAATCATAATGGATTTAATTTAGGTCATACCTAAATGGTCTAGTGGTTTTCCCTACTTTATTCAATTTAAGCCTGAATTTTCCAGTTAAGGAGCTCATGATGTTAGCTATGGTCAGCTCCAGGTCTTGTTTTTGCTGACTGTATGGAGCTTCTTTATCTTTAGCTGCAAAGAATATAATCATTCTGCTTTTCGTATTGACCATCTATCTGGTGATGTCCATGTATGGAGTCATCTCGTGTTGTTGAAAGAGGGTGTTTGCTATGACCAGTGTATCCTCTTGGCATCCTGTTAGCCTTTGCCCTGCTTCATTTTGTACTCCAAGGCCATACTTGCCTGTTACTCCAGGTATTTCTTGACTTCCTACTTTTGCATTTCAATCCTCTGTGATGAAAAGGGAGTCTATTTTTTGTATTAGTTCTAGAAGGTCTTGTAGGTCTTCATAGAACCATCACCTTCAGCTTCTTCAGCATTAGTGGTTGGGGCATAGACTTGGATTACTGTGGCATTGGTTTGCCTTGAAAATGAACTGAGATCTTTCTGTTGTTTTTGAAATTGCACCCAAGTACTGCATCTCAGTGGCTTCCTTAGTGGTTCAGACTATAAAGAATCTGCCTACAATGCAGGAGACCCAGGTTCAATCCCTGGGTTGGGAAGATCCCCTGGAGAAAGGAATGGCTCCCCACTCCAGTATTCTTGCCTGGAGAATTTCATGAACAGAGGAGTCTGATGGGCTACAGTCCATCGCGTTGTAAAGAGTTGGACATGAATGAGTGACTAACACTCACTTTCACTGCATTTCAGATTCTTTTGTTGACTATGAGGACCTCCTATTTGCTTTTAAAATACATTTCACAGGACTAAAAACAAAACAAAACAAAATCACCACCTTTAAACAATATTGGCTGAAGCAGCAACTTGCGGTGAGCTATAGCCCAAACCAAGTACAGAGATAATTGTTTCCAATAATGCAACAGTACCCCATTGTCTTTTTTACAGTAAAAGAGGAGAATTTATTTCTTAGCTAGACATGGGATTATCGTCATTTAGGTACTTTTTGTAATGATGGTGATTCTTCAGCAAAATGATACTCTCTCTTCAGAGGACAAATAAAAAATAAGCTGATCTTTCAAATGAATAAAGTTGACATTCTGTTTTTTCATTCATTTAACAATTTATAGATGGTTTGAGAAAATGTGGGTTAAACCCTAGTGTTTTGGAGTCTGAGAGAAGTGGATTGGAATCCAAGATCTACCATTTACCAGCTGTACAGCTTAGGGTCCCTCTAAGCCTCTGTTCCCACACCTGAAAAATACTGCCCAGGCTGAAAGCAGGGCTGTTGTTGTTTAATGGCTGATTCTTTGTGACCTCATGGACTATAGCCCACCAGGCTCCTCTGTCCATGGAATTTCCCAGGCAAGAATACTGGAGTGGGTTGCCATTTCCTTTTTCGGGGGATCTTCCCAACCCAGGGATCAAACCCACGTCTCCTGCATTGGCAGGCGGATTCTTTACTGCTGAGCCACCAGAGAAGCCCCAAAGAAGAGTTGGGTTATCAGAAAATGTAATAAAAAAAAAAAAGAAAATTCCCTTACATAATAATTCAAAGCATCTTCCTATTATGGGGATACTGATATGAACAATAAGATTATCGAGTGTTATGTGCAGGCAACATTTAAGAGCTTTATTTGCGTTAACAATGTAATTCTCCTAATAGTTCTATTAGGTGGGCCTTATTATTAATTAGGTACTAACATTAAGCCAGTTTTAAAGATATTGGTTAATTTATTCAATGAGTATTTGTTGAATGTGTGCATTTCTCAATAAAACAGGATCTGTTGATTC